CTTCAGCCCCCCTTTCAGGGTAACAAAACTCCAACAAATTGTTGACCCTCTGCAAGGTCTTCAGCCCCATCCCTGAGTCCTTCAAACTCCAGCCCTGTGCTTGGGCTTCTAAATGAAACCAGCCCCCTTCTCAGAGCTTTGGCCACTCTGCCAGTGGGGAGAGCCAGGCTTACCCACTTCTCTGGGTACCAGACCTGGGCCCGACAAATAGCATCCCTAAGCTGTTTCCCCTTCCTACTTGGCTGCTCCCTGTCACCCTTACCTAAACATCTCTCCCATACCACTTTCCCTGCAGCATTTCAGCACCTTCTTCCCACCTCAGGTGCTAGGCAGCAACTGATCTGCATCCACTCAGGCCCAGCAGCCCCTTTTAACTCAGCCTGATATGCTCTGATTGGTTGCTTCCCTGGAAGGCCCACCTCCGCTGCTTCTTTTCTGGGGTGGGGTGTGGTTGAACCAAGAGGCTTACAGCACAGGGCCTCAAAGCACTTGGTACACCCTGTCACACAATCTTTCTTGTGACTTCAGAATTGATGATCATGCATAGGAAAAAGGTTCCTCACCTAGACCTATCAGGAGCCAGTGACGCACAGAAAAAAAACCTCACAGGCCACATACAGCCCCACTACTAAGGGGCAGTGCCTTGGGCCAAAAATGAGAGGTTCAGGATTCAGAAGAGAACTCCAGGCTGGGACAGAGGATTAGGGTACAGCAGGAGGGGGTTCTAATTGGGGGTGCAGACTCTGGAGTGGGGGTGTGGATGAGAGGTTTGGGGTGGTTGAGGGGGCTCTGGGGTATGGATGCAGGCTCTAGGCTAGGGTAGAAGGCTGGGGTGCAGGAGGGAGTAAAGGGCACTTGGGCAGCTCCCATTTGGTGGCACACAAGGGCTAAGGCAGGTAGCTGCAGCTGGCATGCCCCTGTAGCCCTTGAGGTCAGGGGAGCAGGTAGCTCCGCAAGCTGCCCTCACGTGCAGGCATCGCCCACACAGTTCCCATTGGTTGCAGTCCCCAGCCAATGGGAGCTGTGGAAGTGGTGCCTACAAGCAGAATGTTGAGCTTCTCTGATCATGACTAGCTGGCAGCTCTAGACTAGTGAGGCAGGAACCAAGGCTCAGAGCTTCTGGCCCACGGTGCAGAGACTTGCCATGGGCCGGGTAATATTAAGCAGGGGGCCAGATCTGGCCCATGGGCCAGAAGTTCCCCACCACTGCTGCTATAGATTTTTGGAAGGATCATTTTCTCTTAATTTGCAAACAAATTTCAGATGATAGTGCTACCCAGTTATTCTAGAGAGAATTTTTATGAGACTTTACAGTAATATTTTGGATTTGACATATGAGCTCAATGTCTTCAGTTATCAGCTATCCGCACATATCTACCATAGCAAACAAATGTACCGCTTTTGGTGCATTAACTAAAGATGATTTAATTCAGGATAAACTCAGTGAAAAATAAATTATAATTAATTTACAAATTATGAGTTATAGACACCAAATAGACCTGTCCCAGAGACTGGCAGCCTGGCTGCTAAAAGAAGAGCTGTATATTTTTAAACCCTTCTTGGTTTGCTGTCATGACAATCTAGAAATAGACATTATTTACCAAAGTGGACAGAACACGGCCACATCCTCTCACTCGATTTTAGTTGGAGCACAGTTCAAGTAAACGTTTCACTTTTTATTCAGTTCTTCTGTAACTCTTTGCCAGTTGGAGGGAACCTGAGAAATAAAGTTCATTTTACATTTTAAGTATGGTTAGGGTTCATATGTTTGTTTTTATTAGTGTATATCAACACCAGCCCTCGGGTGACCTTGTGCAAGTCATGGCTGAGACTATTTGTAGAAATTACAGTTGCAGCAAAATACGACAAGAATCAGGGCAGCAGTGCTGCTGCCAGTGCGAAATAAATGGGTCGGTGACTGGCTCCTCTGAGCACTTCAAATGCAGATCAAACTAAATTCCAAGAGAGGCAGATCTTATCCTCTATAGTATGTGAATATAGGAACAGCACACTGGATCAGATCAGCAGTCCACTTACTCCAGTACAAGATGCTTCCCAGGAAGGTGGAGGAAACTCCATAATGGAAAATTAGGCCATGTCTACACTAGGAAACTATTTCAAAATTACTAAATTCAACTTAATTACTCCATATTTAACAAATTTGAACTATTGTGTTCTCACAACGGGGAAGCCTCGAAATTAGTCAGAGGCAGGCTCTGTTAATGTGGATGTGCTACGTTGAACTTAGATGCCTGGGAAACACTGGGAGTAATTTGTTCGAATTACCCTGGGAAGTAATTGCTTCAAAATAGCGGCACCGAAGCGTGCACGCTGCTGTTATTTCAAAATAAGTATTTTGGAATTAGTGTTACTCTTGATGAAAAGCAGGAGTGCAGATTTCGAATACCACAGCCCCTTATTTTGAAATAACAGGCTTGGTAGTGTGAACGCTCCGCTTATAAATTTGACCTTCGGGGAGGTTATTTTGAAATAAAGTCCTAGTATAGACCAGAGCTCACAGAATATTCTTTTGTAAAGTGGTCTACACAGTACCTGTAGCACTCCCTTGTGTCAGGATGCGATGTTACAAGGGGTTCTTGTCTCTAGTATCCTAGAGGCCATCTCTCTCTCACCAGGTGTTTTGGGACTCAGCCCTCCAGCCAAGTCACATAAAGTTCAGTCTCCTTCCAGGTTAATAGAGATGTCCTAACAAATACAATGATTTTTCAGCCCCTCTCTGGCCAAACTACAGGCAGTCCCCGGGTTACGTACAAGATAGGGACTGTAGGTTTGTTCTTAAGTTGAATTTGTATGCAAGTCGGAACTGGTACATATTGTAGGGGAAACTCTAGCCAAACATTTCTCCAGAGCTCAGTTTTATTCTCCCACACCTCACTTCCCTCAGTCCTTTATTCTCAAGCTGAGGTGTCTGCTGAGAAAAGCCACTCTGCATCTCCCTGGTCTGCTGGGGGCGGGGGGAGGCGCTAGCTTCGCGTCTCCCTGGTCTGCTGGGGGGAAGCAGCTAGTGCGGGGTTGCCTCATCCTGTTTGTAAGTAGGGATCCGATGTAAGTCGGATCCATGTAACCCGGGGACTGCCTGTAATTGCTAGTTCTTTCCCAGCAGGATTCTCCACTCTGCTTCCCTGCTCCAGGCATTCTGGCAGTTTGGTCTAGGAGGATCTGCCTGTTCCCACTTGCACACATTTTCCCAAGACGTCTCTCTGCAGGAAATTAACATGGTCCCTGTGGGTTTCTTCTATCCATCATGGGTCCTCATTCAAGGTTTCCTCCAGAGTTTACTCCTGGGGTGTGTCTAAACTACATGGCTCCGTCGACAGAGCCATGTAGATTAGGCAGGACGGCAAAGGGAAATGAAGTGGTGATTTAAATAATCGCTGCTTCATTTCAATCCAAATGGCTGCCATGCTGTGCCGATCAGCTGATTGTCGGCACAGCGTGGCAAACCGCTGCTTCATTTAAATCAAAAGGGCTGCCATGCTGTGCCGATCAGCTGATTGTCGGCACAGCGTGGCAGTCTAGACGGAGATCTGCTGACCCCAGAACCCTTCGTTGGCAGATCCTTTATGTCACGACACTTACCGGATCTGCTGACAAAGGGCTCTGGGGTCGGCAGATCCCCGTCTAGACTGCCGCGCTGTGCCGACAATCAGCTGATCGGCACAGCGCAGCGGCCATTTTGATTTAAATGAAGCAGCGATTATTTAATCGCCGCTTCATTTCCCTTTGTGGAGTAAACTAATCTACGTGGCTCCCTCGACGGATCCATGTAGTTTAGACGTACCCCTGGGAGTTACTTTCTCAGATTTTTCTTTATCCTTCTTGCTCCCTTCGAGCAGGATTGTGAACCATTAATAACTACTCTCTGAGAACAGTTATCCAGCCAGTTATACACCCAGGGAGCAGGTCAGTGCTGGGAGAACTGCAGCTACCAGAGCCAGAGGGGCCAGAAGTAGGCCAGAGAGCTGGAGGCAGAACAGCAGCAGTGCTGAGGCAGGAGCTAGGCCCAGAAAAGTGCAGAGCCACATGTGGAGAGCATCTGGGGAAAGTGAGGGGAGTTCTGGGTAGCAGGCCCAACACATGAAGACACCCCAAACCAATATGCCCTTGCAGACCAGACTTGGAGGGGAATAGTAACCCTGATAAGGGGATGATGCTGGGAAGAAGACTCCTGCCCCTAAACCCTGAGAGTGTATGGCCACCACCAAGTTTCTGACCTACAGCAGCGCCAGGGCCTGGGAGAGAGGCCTGGCACCTAGAAGGAGCAGACTCTGACCTGCCCCGCTGCCCGGACGTTCCAGAGAGGCTGTGTGTGATGCCGTCTGCGACAAAGTGGGATGATGTGTTTTCCTTTCACCTTGTTTCCTTATTCTTTCTTTAAATGGATTTCTGTTTAATACAATGTACTCACTGTGAGCTACATGCAGTGATCAGTGACTCGAGAAAGTGTCCTGTGCAGTGTCCCGTGCCCTGGAGGAGGGTCCCCTCCTATGTGACCACAACACTTAGGAGATTAGGGGTCAAGCCCCTCAGGAATCCTGGGGCCAGCCTTGTTGGGGTACGCACAGGAAGGTGGATGGGGAGCCCTCAAGGTCAGGGAAGGCTCTGGGTAAAGGACATGGTAGCAGGGACTCAGATCCTTTCACTGGCTCATTTCACTAGGGTAATTTATAAGCAAAAAAAGTTCCCCACAGTAGTGGGGCCATCCCCCCATGTACATAATGGTTCCTTTCAACCCGCACTGCAGTGCTCCTCTCAACAGAGCTCCTTTCTCTCCCCCTTTCCTTTCCTCAGCCTCTGCCCCTGCTGCTAGCTCAGTTGCTCCATTACTACTCCTAGGGGGGCACCTCTTGGAGCATCTCATGGCTTCCACTAGCAGCCCACAGGGTTGTCAATGGCCACTTAGGCCCTAATTCTCCTGATGGGCCAGTGGCCCCATGACAGCTGCCAACGAGAGGAATATTTTGTCTTCTCTTTTGTAGGACGGAAAAGATATCAATAATCTACACCTACATTTATAAATCTGCTAAACTGGCTCTGTCCCCATGCACAGACACAGTCTGGGTAAGCAAGCCTAATGATTCAGCGTGTGAGCAGAGCAGAAAGTAGAGGGTCAGGAAGGAAATTTACCCCTAGCATGTAGGGATGTGAATGTTTAACTGGTTACCCAGTAAGCCCCACTCTTAACGGGCGAGGCTCACAGGTTAAGGTTAACCAGTGGGGTTGGAGCAGCTTCCCTCCTGCTGCAAGCAGGGGCTACTTTGGTGTCCCAGCTAGAGAAGCCTCTGTCTGCGGTGGGCCCGGATGACCGCAGGCAAAGACTGCCCCAGGGGTGGGGAGTGGGGGGGTCTCCTAAAACATTTTCCACCCAGGACAGCCAAATAGCTAGCACTGCTCCTGAGGGGCTCTGGCATCAATGTATTTGTTTAGTTTACTGAAATCCAGAAGTCTTGATTATTTGCCTAATTATTTGCTTTTTTCCTCAGAGACAAACAAGACAGTCTGCTGGAATTATGGTAGGTGCTTTTGGGAAGGAAGTGTGATTTCCTTGTAAAATCCCACCCGTAAAATTGTCCATCTCCTTTTCTTCATCTTGATAGCTTAAAAGGTCCCCTACCTTTGTACCTTTTTGTCGTGTATTCAATGAAAAGGAGAAGGGAATTGCTTAGAGATTTAACTACAGTCCTTCATCAAGTGCTTGTTCATGTGCACAGGTGGTGAGTTGTATGGGCCCTGATGCTCCAGCACCAGGAATATTCCTGGCCCAGGGCCAGGTTGGGAGCCAGGTCTTTCCCTGCCTCTACCTGCTGCTCTCAAGTGCGCCCCCTGCTTGTGTGTCTGCCAACCCCCCATGCTGCCCTTGGGCGATTTAAAATGCCCCAGGGGCTCCTGCTGCCATCACCAGCAATACAGCAGCGCTAACGTAGCATCCTGCCACTCGCTCCCCATGGCTGCTGTGCTTCCCTGTGGCCCCTGGGCATGGCTGAGTGCCTGTGTCTCTGTGCAGTTGTCCCAGCAGCTGGAGTAGCGCACGGACACCCTCCATACCTCCCCAGCCACAGGGATGCATATGCCAGAGGCCACCCTAGCCTCACTGAGCTGCTGGTGTTGAGCAGGAGATGGGCTGGGGGATGCACAGGAAGCACTGTGTGGCAGGCGGGCAGCAATGTTTGGAGACCCTCGCCCCATGGGAGCTGTTGCCAGAGAGGGGATGCATCAGGTAAGCATGGCACTCCCCACCAGTCTCTCCACAGCCTACACCCTTCTCCCCCAGCCCCATATCCTGTCCCCAAACTCCTGCACCCCCTGCAGACCACAAATTTCTTCCAAGAGCCTGCCCCCAGAACCCTTCCTGCACCCCACCCCCTCTGGCCTAGGCTGGAACCTGTACCCAGACTCTATCCCGGAGTCTGCACCCCTCACCCCTTCTGCATCCACATTCCTGCCAGAGCTTGCAGCTTGTACCCCAGTTCCATTCCTAAGCCTGCATCCTGCACCCAAACTCCCTTCCAGAGTCTTAGGGTGCTGCTGCACTGCACCTGCAGCTCAAAATAAGAGGAGCAATTTAAGCTATGCAAATTGGGTAGCTTATTTCAAGTGTATTTTGAAATAGCTAATTTTGAAAGTTGGCTCTGCCTAAATGGTCCCAAATTTTGAAACAGAGTGCTATTCTGAACTGTCCCTTAGTCCTTGTGGAATGAGGTTTACAGGGACACTGGAATAGTGCATCCGTTATTTTGAAAGCTATTTCAAAATAACAGGCATGCTGTCAAGACGCAGAATATGCTATTTTGGGATACCGGAAATATCCTGAAATAGCGCCGCCCACAGCGTAGACATACCTTTACACGCGGTGCAGGCTCTGGGCATTCTGGGCACCCCCAAAATATCTGCAAACCTGCTACCCCTGTTCATGTGCATTGCAATCAGGTGTGTGTGCATGCACATGCACAGTAGCCAGGAGAATTTTCTCCGAGCAGCTAGCTTCAGGGTCAGCCTGGGTGCCCCCTGGAGTCACACTTCCATGGCACACAGGATAGAGCCCTGCTGACATGCCCCCTCCTCACTGCCAGTGACTGTTTGCTGGAACTTCCCTGGGCTCTAGCTTGACCAGCACAGCAGCCATTCATTGACACAATTCTATTAGTTCTTCAATAGTTAGTAGTTAATAGGGGAGGTTTCCCTCCTGTGCTCCTCTGGCACCAGAGCATGCTGGGTCTCCCAACTTCAAAGTCTGCAAGCGCAGGCCCAGAAGCAACCCTCACCACACGTCTAGTTTGAAGTGCTCAGGCGAGCACCATCCAAAGGATCGTGGTGCCATCTTCGAGAACTTTCAGCCCCAGACGGAACGATAGGGATCAGCGCCTCCAGGGCTTGCTAGCGGAGACTGTGCTTCGTCCCCAGCCAGATCCCGCACTGAGGGACCCGGCATCGAGTCTTTCATTGGTGCACAGTGCTCAGGCTCCAGCATTGTGAGTGCTGGTGCCAAGACTAAGGATTTACGACACCACATGGGCTCCACTCGCAGCTCACATGCTGCCCTCAGGCACCAGCCATAAGCACCAGTGCCACAGAGAAAGAAGAGGCCAGGCAGGATGCTCTCCTGCTACTAGGCCTAAGGACAGGGCCGCTGTGAGCGCCAAGCTGGGCTGCACTGATGTGGTTCTACCACTGGTGCTGGTTGAGTCAGCTCCTGCCCATGGGGAAGGGCGGTGGAATCCAGACCCGCCCCCTTACTCGCCAGCACCCGACTGAGCTCCGCCGTCACGTTTAACCAGTTAACGGATTACACGGAGGGAGCATGGGGGCTGCTCCAGCCTGGCTGCGTCCAGCCCAGTGTTGGGCTGGGACTCAGCAGCTACACGCAGGGCCACAAACTCTGCCTCCCCACAGCCACTCCCTGCAGTGTCACTCCCAGCTGAATACATGAGTGCTACTCATCCAGCCAGCCATGACTCAATGATAGAATGACTCCCACATAGTCCAAGCCCCATACTTTGCATCCTAAAAACGGTGCCCCCTACGTTGTTTGGCACACTACTGAACAACATAAGCGCCTAGCTAGTCTGCCAGTCCAACAAAGGGTAACATTTATGCACCAGCCTTGTTGTTTCAGATGGAAGTTTCCCGAACACTTCAATCAAGCACACTGGTTTAGATGAAACAGTAAGACGAGTTTATCACAAGAGAGAGAGATTGCAAGTGATCAGGCATAACCGTCAGAACTTTTAACAAAGGAAATAAAAAGATAAAACTGCAATCTTTTACCAAGGCTAATAGTTCTAAAAGCAAAATAGGTTGTCTTACCATTAGCTGCAACACACTTCACGGGCTCAAAGCACTTCCCCACTTAGTTCAGAGTTCTTCAGGTATTCACAGATGTCAGGGGAGGTGGAGAGGCAAGGGGGCCAGAGGCCTTTTTCCCTTTCTACTCTGACCCTTTGTATTGGTAAAGGCTTCTCTTGGTCACAGGGTCAGGAAGTTCCACTGCATACTTCAGCTACCAAATCCTTCAGGCTATGTCTACACTATGGGGCTTTATCAGAAAAAGGTATGCAAATTTATGTATCTTTTTGTGATAGTTTTTTTGGAAAAGGCTTTCTGGAAATTGCCTGTCTACACAGGCCAAATTTTGGAAAAACCTCCTCTTTCAGAAGAGCCCTTCTTCCTCATGGGAGGAGAAAGACCGGGCTTCCAAAAGAGCACATCTGCTCTTCCACACAAAAAAGCAGAAGAGCAGACGCATTCCCTGTGGGCCTCATCCTCCCTGACTGAATTAACCTCATTATTTCTAGCCTTACTCTTGATTGGAACTTTTTTCTTATGCCTGTATATTTATACCTGCCTCTGGAATTTCCACTACATGCATCTGATAAAGTGGGTCTTTGCCCATGAAAGCTTATGCTCCAATAAATCTGTTAGTCTATAAAATGCCACAGGACTTCTCGTTATTCCCTGGATGCAGCGGAGTTTTTCCAGGATATTTCTTGTATCGCCGAAAAACCCCATAGTCTAGACATAGCCTCAGATGACATACTTCATTTATACATTCTCTCTGCTGAGGACATCCAATTAAACCAGGTAATGGCGCTTTAGCACTTTGCTGGAGAGTTCCTGTGCCTTTGTTTCTGAGCAATTGACTTGTGGGTGTTACCCAGAATTATAACATATGTCAGGAACATTGATACAGCAAAATCTCATAATTTTACATGCAGTGTTGTTACACACATCTTAATAGAATAATAATATTCAGCAGAGTCTGAGGACAGATCATTGATACAGAACAATTTGGATTGCAAAGTAAACTGAGCACAACCAAACAATATGTATTTTAATAAGACTAAACGTATACATCTAGGGAAAAAAGGATGTAAACCATATTTACAGGGTGGGGGGGCTCTATCTTGGGAAGCAGTGACCCTGAAACTAATTTGGGGGTCATGAATAATCATCTGGATATGAACTCCCAGTGCAAACCTTCCAAAGTTCAATTTAGAGGGTCTAGTATAGACCCACTAAATCGAACTCAGAGAGTGCCCCCATTAGCGCCGATACACCTGGTCCTCATGAGGAGTAAAGGAAGCTGATAGGAGCATTTGCTCCCATCGGCCTCTTGCTGTGTGGATGGCACAGAAACATGGTGTAAGATACATCGACTCCAGCTACATAATTTACGTATCTGGAATTGAGAATCTGACTTCGTCCTTCTGCTGTAGTGTAAGAACAGAAATCTAATAATGGATTCTTCAGTTTAGCATAGAAAAGTATAAGATAAACCAATGGCTGGAAGTTGGAGTTAGACAAATTCAAACTGGAAATAAAATGTAAATTGTGAACAGTGAAAGGGTAATCAGGAGACCAGGTTAAATTAATGATGGCTGAATAAACCTTAACTTAAACAGTTTTACACACTAAGGACAACAAAGAAGCCCATGTGAGCATGCTATGCATCTGGAGAAAGAAGCAGGTTTAGCTGTGCAGCATCCGTATAGCTGTAAGGGAGCAACAAGCTCTGTTGGTTAAACCATTTGTTGGAATTTCCTTCTCCTCCCCAGGAAAAGCTATGCCACCTGACAGAACAATATGTAGTAAACTTTGTGAATATCAATTCCTGTTCTTGTTATGGGAACAATCTACATAGGTGACCAAAAGACTGTTGTGTGCTCAGTTACATCCTTGCAGTCACATTTCCTCTAGTTAGTTAGAATTTAGCAAACAACTCTGTAAGGGTATGTCTACACTACCCTCCTAGTTCGAAATAGGAGGGTAATGTAGGCATACCGCACTTGCAAATGAAGCCTGGGATTTGAATTTCCCGGGCTTCATTTGCATAAGCGGAGCACCGCCATTTTTAAATCCCGCACAATTTGCAAGTGCGGTATGCCTACATTACCCTGCTAGTTCGAATTAGCGGGGTAGTGTAGACATACCCTAACGCAGTGGTCCCCAACCTTTTGAGGTTGTCGGGCGCCAGGGGGCGTGGCCGTTTGCCCGCCGGGCGTCAGGGGGCGGGGACCCAGGGCTCCAAGGGCTGGTCATCAAGTCCAGCCCCCTGCTCTAGGCAGGACCAATCCCAACTAAATAAACCCAGCCAGGGCTTTGTCAAGCTGACATTTAAACACCTCTAGGGATGGAGACTCCCCCCTCCCCCTTCCGCCAAGTGCCGCGTGCCTGATGCTCCCCCCACCAAGCGCACTCTCCCCGCAAGTGCCCGTGCGCCATGTGCCCGGGGCCAGGCCAGCCCTGAGCACCTGGCGGGCGCATTGAAATGCCCCCGCGGGCGCCATTGCGCCCGTGGGCACCGTGTTGGGGACCACGGCCCTACCGGATGCACCAGGAGAACTAAAATCCAGCTTTCCAAGCTGTGTTGTTCTGCTGGACTAGCAAGAGCAAAGAGCAGTAATGTCTTATTTAAATCACCATTATTAACAGGTATGATTCTGATACCCACAGGAACCTGATCTGATATGTAAGTGGGGTGTTATTTTTATGTAATTACTTTTCAGACTAGAACAACGTCTTAAGATTTGGCCTGTAGGAGTCAAGCAACTTCTGTCTTTGGCCAGTCCTGCTTCTCTAGCTAATAACTGTGCTTTCTTTTTGTCTTCTCCTATCTGTGATGTTCGTAGGGCAGAGCTCAGAAAACTGCTCCAGGGCAGCACAGACACTGTGAGAAATGTTTCAACCGACAATGCCAAGTCCCAGTTGAGCTCACTGTCTCCTGCTTAGTGATCAATTGCCATTCTCGCTGTGGGGCTGCCTTTCACATGTGTAAACAGGAAGAACACCAACTCCTATGTCCCCTAGAGCAGGTCCCATGCCTCAACTCAGCTTATGGCTGCCCTTCCTCCATGGCCCGCTTTAAGCTGGCAAAGCATCTTCAGGTTTGTCCAGCCAGTGTGGTCCACTGCTCTATGGAATGGAATCGGTGGCCAAATGTAGACTCAGAAACCATTCTACATAAGAACATTATGAAGCATCCACATAATGAGCAGAGTCTAGATACTGCTCTGGCCCTCAGAGATCAGAAGATTCTTTTTAGGACTCTGAAAATGGCTGAGCTGTTTCCAGAATGGAGAGAAGATGATGAAATGGAAGAACCTGGAGCTGCAGGTTTGGATGAAGGAGCTGTTGGAGGAATAACAGGTGATTCTAGAGAAGCTGATGGCCAAGTGGCTGAGCTTACCCAGCAGGAGCGTGAGAACTTGGCAAAGGATAAGGAGGGGATGGATCTAGCAAGTTACAAAACCTGGGAGAACATGTTTAGCAAAGAGCTTTCAGCATTGAAGGCAACAGGATTGTCAGCAAATTCAGAAAAAAAGGAGGGTGATAGCTACAAGAAAACAGGACAGACTCTTTGTGGTGGCAACCCCACAGAGAAGACAAAGGAAGCAGCTATTGTGGAAGACCCAAAAGAAAGCAAAAATAATCAAGTGATGGCTGGTGCAGAAAAGACAGGCCTAGCTCCTTGGCAAGACGGGATCCTGGAGAGGTTGAAAAAAGAAGTTAACATAGGGGATTATAACATGTACCTGGTGCATCATGGGAGAATGCTCATTCATTTTGGTCAGCTAGCTGCTTGCACACCAAGAGAGAAAGACTTTGTGTATGGGAACCTGGAGGCTCATGAGGTGAAGACTGTCTGCACCTTCAAAGTGCCAGTTAGCTATCATGGCAAAAGAGCACGACTTGCAGACACCCAGGCATACAAGGTAGTAACCATGGATAAGTCAGTGGATACCTCAGACTTGCAGATGAGCCTGGAGGAATGTCCTCAGCTAGATATAGCCAGAACTACACTGCTGTGTGCATTGGAAAAGGAACTGAAAGGTCATGAGATCTCAGAAGCAAAGAATATTGATGGACTGTTCATGGATTTTGGGACACAGACATACAACTTTCAGGTGGAACCCTTCTCCTCTAGAGATGTCCTAGCAGATGTTCTGGATATAAAAAGCTCACCGGGACTCCATGTAGAGCTGCACACTGAGTGTGTGACTAGAAGACATAACAAAAGCTGCTCAGCCTTCACATTCACTTGCAATCACTTCTTCAGAAGGGATGAGTTTCCTTCACATTTCAAGAACGTCCATACTGATATCCAGTCCTGCTTAAACGGATGGTTCCAACAACGCTGTCCACTTGCCTACTTAGGATGTACCTTTGTTCAAAACCGCTTCTATCCTGCCACTCAGAAAGCAACGTTTATCTACAGCCAGCATCTTGATACGTTAGCTATTCAACCAGAAGTTGACGATGCACTCTCTAAAATACAGAAATGCAATTTTACTGCAAGTAATAAAGGAAAAAATAAAGACTCCCTGAGCAGCCTTCCACTGGAACTTTTACAGTATATTGCTGGCTTCTTGGACAACTTCAGCTTGTCTCAGCTGTCCCAAGTGTCTGTACTGATGAGGGATATCTGTGCCACTCTCCTTCAAGAGAGAGGGATGGTCTTCCTGCTGTGGGAAAAAAAAAGATATTCCCATGGAGGCACATCATGGAGAGCTCGCAAAAAGGCAAGTGTTTGGGACACAAAAGGTGTTTACAGGAAAGGCTCATCAAAAATATAACACAACACACTCTTTTTTTGGTGTGAACTGAGTTTTCCTGACACTTAAAGGTCACACAGAACTTTTTAGAAATTGGGCTTCTGCCTCCTTTGGGTTCTGTGCAGTGTTTACAGATAGCCTGAAACTACCACAGCCTATTGGTAAGGCAAAAGTGAAATATTTGCAAGGAACTGTGATTGTGAAGGGAACCTAGATTTTCATATCAACGCCTACTGTTTTCACTGATTGGTAATTTATAGGGTTTTCATGAAATTGTGCTTTGTTGGGACTTGGCCACTAAGGTATCAGGCATGGGACAGGAAGCCCTTTATCTTTAAGTTTAAAACTAGCCCAGCTTGATAATGATTGAAAATTAATACCACCTGCTGGCCACTTGGTGGTCTAAGTAAAGGTGTTGGCACATCTTACTTCATCCCTCAGTCAGTGTCAGCATCACACATTCAACATCCCAGCTGACACTTGTGAGAGTAACAGCAAAATGAGAGGTCAAGGACTGAACAGTTCTGGAGACTTTGGGCTTTTCTACATGGTATGTGAGTGCATTGGGATGTCAATTGTAATGTGCACCAGCTGGTGTGCGCTAAAGGTTCCCTCGTGTGTGTTAACATATTACTGTTTGAAACAGGACTACATCAGTGCACCCTAGGGAACTTTTGTGTGTGTCCCAGAAGGGTCCACATAAGCCAATTAGTGTGCAAACATGTGGGTGCACATTAGAATTTATGCTCCTCTGGCAGTGTTCTCTCTAGCTGTGGGGCAGCACAGCCCCACAGCTGGTTACTGAGCCCAGCCCAGCCAGGGGCTCAGGGCTCCATGCATGGAACTGCCTGGCTGGGGGAGGGGCACTTCTCCCTCAGCTTTAGCAGCAGCTCCCTGCTCAGGACAGAGCAGTGAGACTCTCCCAGCCAGCAGAGAGGGGACGTGTCCCTACCGCCTGGGAGAGATTCATTGCTTGGTCCTCAGCAGGGATTTGCTGCTGTGGCTGAGGGAGAAGTGCCCCTCCCCCAGCCAGACAGCTCCATGCACAGAGCCTTGAGCCCCTGTCTGGGCTGGGCTCAGTAAGCAGCTGCAGGGCCATGCTGCTGCACAGCTGAGAGGGAACACTGCCCTCTGGTGCACGCTAACCTTGTATTATGTAGACAAGCTCTTCATTACGACTACATGTACCAGATCATACCTGTAGAGACAAAGACTTTGAGTCACACAAAATGGAGAACTGTATCTTGAATAGCAGTGACTCTGAAAAGGACTTAGGATAAGAGTAGATAATCAAATGAACATGAGCTCTCAGTTTAAAGCTCTGGCCAGAATGCTAATGTGAATCTTGAATGTGTAAAAAAACAAGTCTATCTATTGAGTAGGAATAGGGATGTTATATTACCTATGTATATGACAGGGGACTATCATCACCTCACCTGCTACTGGCTCACCTCATCCATCTTCACTCCCCCACCAGCTACAAGACCCCACTCCCTACCCACCTTTTCACCCCTTCTGCCTGCCTGTTACTTACCTCCTCACACACCCCCTCCTCCCCAACCCTTCCTATCCACCACCAGACACCACCCCTGCCTGCTGGCTTGCCACTTGCCTCCTCACTTTCCTGCCAGACCCCCTTGCTTGCCACTGGCTCGCTATACCCCTCCTCGCTCCCCTGCCCCCACAGGGATAGAGGGTAAGGAGCAATGCAGTGAGTGGCAGGGATGAGGGGTGGAGTGGAGGAGAGGAGAGGTATAAGATTCATTAGGCGGCAGCAGGCAGTGGGGGCCTCACAGAGACGGGACAGAACAGGGAAGAGGCAGGGCCACGTGACCCAGGTATCCAGCAGCAAGTCAGTAGCAGCTGTGCCAGGGGAGACTTCCCTCCCTGTTATACCTGCTGCCCATGGGGCATGGGTCACTTGCTGGTTAGAACTAGAGTAAATGGCGGATTCCCTGTAAATTGAAGTCTTTAACTCATGCTTTGAAGATGTTCGTAATTCAGCCAAAGGTTGTGGGCCTGTTATAGGAGTGGGGCAGGAGATGAGGTTCTGAGGCCTACAACATGCAGGTCATCAGACTAGATGCTCATGATGGTCCCTTTTGGCCTTAGAATCTGGGTCTATAAACTCCAGAACACCAAAATGGATGCCCTAGGACAGAGCAATGGACTGCTCCATCTAGTATCCCATCTCCTTGCCTCAGGGAACAGAACTGATTCAATAGGATAATAGTTTGGTGTTTACTCTTCTCCATTCATTTCAAAAGTTTCTGCTGCCATCATATCTAGGGATTTATACAGTGAGAAATGCCCAAAAAGACAAAATCATTTTTCAACACTCCTCTCGATATAATCCTGGGCTGCTGACTTTTAGTCCAGTGTAAGTTCACTGTCCTACTTTTGGATTTACTTTCACGAGAGCGATGTCAGTCTTCCCTTGTTGTGGTTCTTTAGGAAATGCTGTGGCAAAAAGATGTTTTACAGTATGAGCTGACGGTGATAAGAGTTAGGCTCTTCATGTCCTCTTTTGAGAGCATTTCTCAGAGCCCTCTCCTGCTCTCTCAAGTCTCTCTCTGGACTTCAATGTATATAACGTGCTAGGTCAATGCTGCTCTTGTAGATCGTCCTGGGAGAGAAAACATTTCTGGCTTATCCACTGGGAATGTTGTGCCAAAATTGATCTGCACCGAATGCAAAAAATAAGAGCAGTGTGTCTCCGATACTGTATCTCACATTTAAACATATCAACCAGCTACTTAGTGTGCAATTCCATTTTGCACTTAAAGCATGAGTGTGTTTGGTATGAAGGATACAGTTTTCCCAAATGTAGAGCACTGACTCTTTGAATAACAAAATTTGCATTGGCTGGTGAAAATGGACTAAGCAGATGGGAGAGCTCTGCAAAGCATTGTGAGGTATTTGGCATGGGTTAAAAGAATTGTGGAAAGGTGTTAGCTGGTGGCCGGGGCAGTGAGTGGTCTGTGAACCCTATCACACACCCGAGTCTTCAACTGCTAGGAAGTTCCTAGAGTCCCTTCGCAGCGGGCAGCCAGGGAGACTGACGGGTGCCTCAAAGAGTCTGCCCCGTGGAGGTGGCTCGACTCAACGCTCAGCTCTTACTGCGTTTACCCCTGACCAGCTATGGTTCTTTTTTATTGTGTTTGGTTCTGTTATAGCAACAGGAGGAGTCAGGTTAAAAGCTTAAACAGTTACTATTTTATTGTTACAAGGCAAGCTTAGCTGTCAAATGTTACTGCTGTGTTACAGATGACACAGCCACTACAAAAGGACAAGACAGAAAATTACAATAAAAAGTCACTTACAGGTACCATGAAACCCTTTTGGTTCTCTGAGCTCCTATTAAATCCGTGCAAAAACAGACACCTAGCAGATATATTCTCACCCCTGTGATCTTTACTCCAGCGAAGCCAGCGTTTCTCTCAATCCCAATGGGAAGCAGTCAGTACAAGAGTGTGTAGGTGTATCAATACTGGTACCAGCCATAGGTAGCCCAAGGCCCCCGACCGCCTGCTGGCCCAATTGTCACTGTTATCTGGTTCCTGTCTAGCATCCAGGGCCATGGTTATTCCAGCACCTCTGGAGGCCCTGGAGCCTTTGAAGACAGAGTTTCTCTCTCAAGGATTCCCTCTCCCAAGGATGTCGGAGGGAGGGAGGGGGGCGGCTACAGAAGGGTATGACATATTCAGTTAGCATAATTTCCCAATGCCTCTGTGTATGTGTGTGTGTGTGTGTGTGTGTGTGTGTGTACTATTACTATCATGTGAGTATTGGTTAATACATATTAGGACTTACACCTAACTAACTGTGAAGATACTGTACTAGATTTATAATGCTTTGTTTTGGAATAATTGTAAGTCTAATGTTTTTTCCCTCTAAGTTCCTCATGCACACTCTTAACTTTGCTTCCATGTTAATGTACTTTTTGTTTAAGATAAATACGTATGTATTTACACAAAGGGAGATGTTATGACAGTGCACATAAAGAAACGGAACCTGATTTTCTACTGTTATACCAATCCTGTGCTATCATGACTCCACTAGTCAGGCCAGTTAATTAAGAGTAATGAAAGTCCATTGTAATATCTGAACATAAATGTATTTGTAAAGCCTCTGCATTTTCATTAACATTCCTATCTTCTCTCCTTTATTCCCACATATTAGATCTGGCAGTTTAGCAGCCTGTTCGCCCCTGTTAACAACTGGCAGTTCAGTGACATTCCCTCCATGTCAGAACACCTGAAGATCTGTCCGTTCTATGATGTGGAGCATAAGAAGGACCCATTCTTGCTGGTCAGCATGAGTGGACCCCAAAAGCAGGCTCAAAATCGCTTGGTCTCAACCTTCAAGCATAGATCCTGAATACATCTCCCAGGTCACTCAGGGAGTATTGGGATCTGGGTTGGAGAGATTATTATGTAGGCACTCCACAAGACAATTCCCTTTGGAAACTCAAAAATCAACCTTTTGCTGATCTGTTTGGAATATGGTGAATCATTTTCTTTCAGTATTTTAGCAATGCTAAAAATGAATTACTTCATTCAGCTGAGGGCTAATATCACAAGTTTTCTATTTTTGTGTTTCATGCCTGCTCATTAGTAGAGCCACCTGGAAAAAGCAATGAGAGGAATACTGGGTTATAGCACCCAGCTTGGCAGTCTAGAAGTCAGAGAACAGCTATCGTCCCCGTGCTTTTTCCCTAAGGGAGGAAAGAGCAGGTTTAGTGCCTAGTTTGGGTAGATCTAATCCTCGTAGAATCATCAAAAACTACTAGCACACGGAGAAATTGCTGGAGTGTGAGCATGCTAGATCACTTCAGTACTGACAGATGTAGAGACAGCAAGGAGAGCTGAGTGCATAAGCACAGGAGAGCAAGTTCAAACTGGTGGATGAGTTACAGCAGTTAGATGGGAGTTGAGCCCACGAAAGCTCATGATACTCTCTATATGTTTTAAACTTAAAAACAACAAATGGTCTGGTAGCACTTTATAGACTAACAAAACATGTAGATGGTATCATGAGCTTTCGTGGGCACAGCTCACTTCTTCAGATGACCAGAGTTTAATATGTTTTGTGAGTCTCGAAGGGTAATGTAGGCATACCGCACTTGCAAATGAAGCCCGGAATTTGAATTTCCTGGGCTTCATTTGCATGAAGCCGGCCGGCGCCATTTTTAAATGCCGGCAGTTCGAACCCCGGGCCGCGCGGCTACACGCGGCACGGAGTAGCTAGTTCGGATTAGGCTTCCTAATCCGAACTAGCTGTACTCCTCGTGGAATGAGGTTCGAACTGCCGGCATGCGGTATGCCTACATTACCCTCCTAGTGCGAATTAGGTGGGTAGTGTAGACATACCCGAAGGTGCTACAGGACTGCTTGTTTTTTATGTTTTTTAGTTACAGACTAACACTGCTCTCCCTCTGAAGCTGTTTGATGTTTTGTCAAGGGGTATATCTAGACTACACACCTCTGCCAGCAGAGGCATGTAAATTAGACTACCCGACATAGTCAATGAAGCAGAGATTTAAATATCCCCCACTTCATTAAAATAAATATGGCCGCCGCATTGTGCTGGCTCAGCTGATCGTCGGCACAACGCGGCCGTCACGATGCAGATTGGTCGGCAAGGAAAGCCTTTGCTGACTGATCCCTTATGTCTCCTGAAACGAGGTTTACAGGATCGGTGGTGGCCATTTTTATTTTAATGAAGCGGGGGATATTTAAATCCCCACTTCATTGACTATGTTGGGTAGTCTATTTTACATGCCTCTGCTGGCAGAGGCATGTAGTCTAGACATACCCAAGGAGACAGGAATTCATCAATCAGTAATAAGCAGCAGTTTGAGGAAGAAAGATTTTAGGCTTTGTGTCAGGACAGCGTCCCGATTCTGGACTGCATTTTAAGTGCGTGCTTAAAGTAAAAAAATTGTCAAAAATGAGAGTCAAAATTAAAGACTTGATACATAAATTCCAGGCTTCTGTGCTCAAACTTCTAAACAATTCTCATTTGGCCAGCTGATCCAAAGTGATATAGGACTATGAAAATCAGTGTATACCTTTTGAGGATCTGACCAAATTTACTATTAGTATCGGTCCCAATGGTGTTGATATTATTCCAGCTTTGGTCTGCTTGCGTCAAGTCTAGAGAACATTGCTCCTGTAACTCCCTTCATACAGAAAGAATCTGACATAAGTGTCACCCTCCCGCCCCAAACCTGTGATCTTGACTCTTCCTTTATTCTGCCCATGAAAGCCAATCCTGGAGTCAGACTGGGGAGAAAAGGCAACATTTGCAATTTTGGCAACTCAGGATATGAGTTAGAGAAGAAAAAATCTTTCCCTTCTACAGGATGGTGCCCCCATTCACTGGTGGCCAGGCACTAGCTGGGATTGAATTAATCAGAAGAGGTATGCTGGGTTGTTCTAAACTGGAAGCCTCCTTGGTTTGGTTGATCTGATACGAACTTTTACCCAAGAGTACATCTACACAGCAGTAACACAATAACATCTTCACAATAACTTTGTCCACATCTACACTGGAAGCCGTTATTTCGATATAATGTCAAAAAAACATCGAGCTGGAGGACTCCTTACTCTGACTCCTGTGACCCTCATTGTGCAAGGAGTAAGGGAAGTCGGAGGAAGAGTGCTCTATTTCCAAATAAGTGCTGTGTAGGCGTGCCCAAATTCAAAAGAAGCTATTTTGACGGAAGCTATGCAATTAGAGTCACTCAACTTACGGAGCTTATTTTGAGTTTAGCCCTGCTGTGTAGACGCACCCTTAGTGAGCACAACATGGACACATTTTAAAGATGGATACTTAGCAGGGTTGGCTATGAGAAGCTGGGCACCTGTTGCTTTTGTAAACAACTTGTCTGCAATAGAGAGGTTCAAACTGGGAGACTGAATCCAAATCTTGGATTTCGTGGCCTAGGCCCATTTTAGTCGCCTGCATTATTTCCAAAGAGTAAAAGTCACAGTCCACTCTGGGTCTTGACTGAGACTGTGTGTCAGTCCCAGTGCCCTACACTGAAGCTATGGCAGAGGTGAGACCTGGGAAGAATAAGGAATGCATTTAAATGCATGAGACAAGCATGGGCTTTTGGTACAATAAGTGCTAAGTGGGTTTCCTGAGAAATCCCTGGAGAGTGGTTAATGTAAATTCCACTATGGAAAACCCTAGTCTTCTCAAGCAATGCCCTGAGGAGTGGCCAATCAACTTGCCTGTCACAAATGGGCTCATTTAGATTACACGGAAAATTTGAAAGACGATATGCAAATTCCGCAGGAATTTGAATATCTTCTTCCAATCTCACTTTTGAAAGAGGAGCTTTTGAAAGTGAAATTAGTCTAGACGTGGGTTTTTTTACAACCCCCCCCTTTTCAAAAAGCTGCTTAAACCTCATTTTTTTGAGGAAAAGCGGCTTTTCAAAAAAGGGGGGGTTGCCAAAAAACGGGTCGAGACTACTTTCACTTTCGAAGTGAGATCTTCTTTCGAATCTTCCGCGTAGTCTAGACCTACATAGCCTCTGTTCTCAGAGACTGGAGAGCAAAGGCTGAAAATTCCAGTTGGGGCTCTGGTGCCTGATCTAAAAAATGACATGAACATGTAACCCATGGGGCAAATCCAGCTGCGAGGTTTGAGTAACTGACCCCCACACCAGAACCCTAAATTGGAATTAGGATGACCACTAATAGGCTATTTGTATGCACGTAGGTACTTTTATTTTGTATAGGTTTTCTCTGTAATGCCTTTTACTTTAACAATAAATGTGCTTGCTTAGAAAGAGCTGTGTGGTGACTTGCAATCACTGCAATGCAGATTCAGGCACTAAAACAGCACAGGTGCTACATCTGTGCTACTGTAGTGTCTGGTATAGATATTCACTACAGCCATAAAAAAAATTTTTTTCCATTGTTACAACAAACTTACCTCTCCGAGAGGTGTCAACTAGAAGTGGTTAATGTAAATTCAAGTATGGCAGTTATGCACAAATCCAGCCATGCCCTGAGGAGAGGGCCATCAACTGATAATTACCTATTCTCCCAGACTAGCAATCAAAGGCCCAGATCTGTATAAAGAATCAGCTGAATTGTGCAATTAGGGTTCTGGTGCTTGATCTAAAAATTGACATGAACTTGTAACCCAGAGGGCAAATCCAATTGTGAAGTCTGAAGGAATGACTTTTACCAGAGTCCTGGGGATGACCTCTGATACACTTTTAGGGTACGTCTACACTGCATCCCTAGTTCGAACTAGGGATGCAAATGGAGACGACTGAAGTAGTTAATGAAGCGGGGATTTAAATTCGGACTAAGGGCTTTAGTCTATCTCGCCGGTGCGCTAGTTCGAATCACGGCTGATTCGAACCAGGAAGTGCGCGCTGGGACGCGCTAGTTCAGACTAAAGCCCTTAGTCCGAACTAATGTTACTCCTCAAAAAATGATATTTAAATCCCCGCTTCATTAACTACTTCGGTCGTCTCCATTTGCATCCCTAGTTCGAACTAGGGATGCAGTGTAGACGTACCCTAAAAGTGTATCAGAGGTCATCCCCAGGACTCTGGTAAAAGTCATTCCTTCAGCTGCTGTTCCTGGTCCAAGATAGCATGGAGGATGCCATTTAAAAATGCTTTACAAAATGGAGTCTTCTGCACAGCATGCACTTGTACATGTATGGTGTAGGTCAGGTCACACTGTGTGGATGGCACCATTTTTGGAACAAAATAGCATCCTGTATGTGGCTTGACTTCACACATCTGATGTGTGCACGCACTATTTTGTTGTGCGGAGCATGCCTTTTTGTAAAATGGCGTCCTCTGCACACTCAGGACCGTCACAATCCCATCTGTTAATGGTGCTACTCCCCTTTGGGAACCACTGCAATACAGGCTATATCTTCACTACAAATGCTATTGCTACAGTGCTACAGCTATGTCATGGTAGCATCTAGTGTAAACACTCACTGCAGCAATGGATGGGTTTTTCCATTGCAATAGTCATGGGTGGCGGGTGAAGGCCCAGCTGGGGAAGGTAAGCTCCAGTGCTGCCCCTTCCATCCGAGGATCCACGCGTTCCACCAGAGACCTCGTCTCTTCTGCAACCTCACTCTGTAGAGCCAAGCTCCCCCCAGCCCTGAGGCCCAGTCCTTTCTGTCCAGCCAGAAGGCCAGGCTGCCACATCACGGTCCCAGCCCTCCCGGGCAGCCAGTGGACCAGGCTGTCATACTGTAGCCCCTGCCTTCCTGGGTGGCTGGGGATTGTTGGCAATTTTGGGAAGGCAATGCCCTCCCTTGCATGCATTACCCATCGCCCATGGCAACATTAGATCCACTGAGATATAGAGGGGTAGCTATGTCAATAGGGCTTAGGTAAGCTTAACAACATCTCTGAGGGGTGTGAATTTCTCACACTGCTGAGTGATGTAGTACAGTCTACTTAAGTATTAGGTACAGCCCAGGTCACACTCAGACATAGCTCTGAGAGAGAAAGCAAAGCACAAGCACTGACCTTTAGACAAACTGGCTTGCTGGAGATATCACAGGGCAAGGCAGGGAACCATGCAGCCTTAAAAACAGGGTTTGCAGAGTGTGGGACAAGGGTCTCTCCCCAGAAACGGGTAATGACAGGAGACTTGGGAACTGACTGGGAACTCCTGGTGTTTATCATGGAGAGATGGGAAGATGGATGTAGTTGTCCTGAAAATGTGACAGAAGTTTCTTCTCCCTGGGAAATGGGACTTAGTAGGTGTGAAATAATGGAACGGAGGAAAGGTGGAAGGATAGAAGTCGGGGTGGGGAGCAGGAAAGGTGGAGGGGACTGGAATCAGGAAAGGTAAGTGTGTACACCAAAGCAGAAAGTATGGACTGGAGAGAGGCAAGTGGGGACTGAGGTTAGGAAAGAGGTGTGAGAATGAGGGTTTGGGAGAGGTAATTTGAATGGAGATGAGGTCAGGAGAAAAAAAGTAGGTGGGGTGAGTGAGTA